TTTGGAATGGGAATTTTCGGAACGTCAGCGTGCCGTCAAAGCCTATCTACGAAATAAGAAACACTGTTGAAAATAATATATGCAGTTTATTATGTCAACAAATAAATTATGCAAAAAATACATTAAATATTTAGTAAGAACACAAAAAATTCAAAAAATCGTAAAATGATAATTTTTTTCCTTCCGAGATTTTCGTCGCAAGGCGAAGTGAGCAGAAGATGTGAAGGCGTTGCTGAAAACCTCATTCATGAAGCATACTGTATTGTTTTCATTTTCGGAGTAATAATGAGACGAAAAAATACCAGTTGAAAGAAAGACGAAACGGCAATCGGAGAAAAATTTTTTTTTTGCATATTTAAAAAAAAACCGGCCACTGACAAAATAATCATTCGACTGAACCGGAAATTTACGAAAAAAATCTATTTTATATGGTTTTTACAATAAATTACAAAAAAACCGTTTTTTAAATTGTAAATTCGTTTAAAATTTGGAAAAATGAAGTAGGAAAATAAAAAAATAAAAAAAAGTTTGCGCGTCGGATTGCGTGCTTTAGGTGCGAACACCGCGACGGCAAATCACACGTTCCCTGAAATTTTCCCCGAAAATTTTGCTGTCTGGCCTCCTTTAAAGAATTGAAAAATTTCGAAATTCGCATACTTACTAAATGCCGGGCTGGCCTGAGACGGCCCTGTCCGCAAAATGTATAGAATTTCGAAAAAGTTTATAAAATCTAGAATTTGAGAACCTGAAAAATTGGAAATTCAGAAATTCAACTTTTCGAAAAACATTCTAGTCGAAAAGTATTGGAACTTTGAAAAATCAGAAATTTAGATTTGAGAATTCGAAAATTTACAAACTCCGAGATTTGAAAACCTGGAAAGTTGGAAAATCTTAACGTTTGAAATTTTTTGGCAAATTCGGTGAATAAGATCTCAGAAATGTGTATATTCCGAAGTTTGAAAATTATGAAATTAAGTTCGGAAATTTTGAAAATGATTGCTGAATTCTGAAAATTCGAGTGATCCAGAAAGGGCGCTGTTATTTTTCCTCGCATTCTCTTTCTTTCCTTTTATTCACTTTCTCTTCCACCTTTCAGAATTTTTTCTGCCTTTCAAATCTTTGAAACCCATGCCAAAAGAGTATTTCTAGAAAATCACGTTTCTCTCAGAAATAGCGTGGATAAGAAAAAAATGTAGGCGGTTAGACGGGAATGACGTGAATATTTCTTCAATATTTTTCTAAAAATTTGCACTGTAGAAATAGAAGAACGTCTTCAGAAGACATCAGAAACAAAATTTAGAAGTATAAAATACTCGGGCATCATCTCGCTGCTATTTCGGGTCATCTGTGAAAATTTGAGAAATTTTGGTCCATTCTGGACTTCGATAGGGCAGGTGACCCGGGAACACCGGACACACACACACATACACACTCACACACAGAATTTGGTGATTGTTAATAGTAAAGATAGTAAAGAAGTTTGAAGGGGCGCAGACAGTTAGAAACTCGTTGCCTGCGCCTCTCGCATCTTTAGGTAATTATATCTTGGCTCCGAAATGTCCTAGAAAATTTTTTTTTCAGCGGAATATGTGATTGGAAATTTTGAAATTTTAGGTCTAAAAATCAAGTCTCTCACTTATCTAGGAGCCGAGATATGATCTCTCAAAGATTGAAGAAACGCAGACAGTTAGAGTGTCTCGTTGTCTGCGTCTCAAAACGTTTCAGCTAGCTATATCTCGGGCCCTAGACATCCTAGAACGCTGATTTTTGAATAGAAAGAACGGATTAGTAAATTTACACATTTCTGGAAAAATCGCTTCTCTAGAAGCATCAGGAAGCAAGTTTTAGCTATTTGAAGTTAAGAGCGACGCAGACAGTTAGAGTGTCTCATTGTCTGCGTCTCGTAAACTATGATTTGAAAGCTCTTTTCTTGCGATACTTCAAACAGTTTTCAGAATTCCAAAATATTGGTTTTGAAGCGAATTATACACATCTTAGTCTGCTGACCTAGAAAACTAAATTTCCAGAAAACTAGGCCGTGGTGTGCATGATATCAAAGCGTATGATTCAGTGATTCAAAATCAGTTTTCAGACTTTGAAAATGCCGATTTTGAGCTGAGTTATGAGAATAATTTGTTTGGTGGCCTAGAAATCCAAACCCAGGCCATATTTTTTCAAATATTTGAAATTGTCATAACTTGGTTCAAAATCAACATTTTTGAAATCTGAAAATTGTTCTGAAACCATCAAATCTTTGTCTATGAATTTATAAACGTTCCAGTCACCAACTTCAAACTTCGCTCCCGCGCTCGCCACGTCTTCAGTGAGGCGCATCGTGTGGAACTATTCGAATCGGCGTGTGAATCGAAAGACATCAAACAGATGGGCGTCCTGATGAATGCCAGCCATCGAAGCTGTGCAATCGATTACGAGTGTAGCTGTGAAGAGTTGGACGCAATTTGTGAGCTCTATACAAAGCACGGAGCTCTCGGAGCCCGTCTAACTGGAGCCGGATGGGGTGGATGTGCTGTGGTGTTGATGGCGGCTGATGACGTGGCGAACATTGAGAAGCTTCCGTCGCTTTTCGTGTCGAAACCTGGTCAAGGGATTCGCGTTCATCGTTTTTGAACTTTTTTCTTTGTAAATTTATTAAATTTATGTGATTTATTTGATATCTGGGATACTGTAAAATGTGAATAAATGCTACAGGGAAGGTTTTTTTATGGTCAAATTCAAAAAAAAGAAAAAAACAAAAGTTGCCACCTATGAGACTCGAACCTGCACATTGCGGGACAACACAGGTCCTGGGCGATGATGCGCATAAAGCACCCGATCCATATGCGATCCTCTAGAAGTCCGTTTGACACATATCGCGAACAACGAGCTGCGATGAGTCTCATATGTGTGCGATGCGGGAGAGGCTGAATCGAGTGTTCCGAATGCGCGCGTATCCTAGATGGATTCTGGGTGGGTGGGCGATGTGTGCGATATGGGTCTGATACGGTAGGCCGACTACAACACTCCGAAATCCCGGATGCGCCCATTGTTTACCGTAAATCCACACCGGCAACTTTGTCAATTTTTCGTCAATTCGAGCCTACATTTCTGGTTTTTCGATTATTCCTTCGATGTTTTTTGTGAAAAAGAGTTATGGCAGAATAAAAAATCGCTGAATTCTTGCAGAAAC